CATCTCTTTTAGGGATTGAATTTAGGGGGCACTGAGCTACCACCACTCTTTATTTTTAAATTTTGAGACAGGTTCTCACTAAACTGCTCAGGCTGCCCTTAAATTTGCAATCTTCCTGCTTCAGCCTCCCAAGCATCTGGGATTACAGGTATGTGCCACCCTACCTGGCCTATGTCCTATTTAATCTGGGTTTGTGGTGTTTGGGGCCTTCCTTCCAATCAATCTCACCTACTGAGAAGCAGCGCATCCTGTTTAGTAAATCTAGCTCAGGCCTGACTCTGTCCTGCCTTGGTATCCAAATGTGCTATAGCCACTACCACCTGTTGTAGCATCCTCAGAACTCTCCCTCCCCAAATTCCTGGCACTGTGGTCTGTTGTCCTGAGTTAAACTATGCTGAGGCGCTGAAGAATGGATGAGTATAAGCTGGGTGTGGTGGTGCACACCTGTAATCTTAGTACTTGGGAGGCCGAGGCAGGAGGATCACTGTGAGTTTAAGGCTAGCCTGTGCTACATAGTGAGAACCTGTCTCCAAAAAGAGAGAGAGAGAGAGAGAGAGAGAGAGAGAGAGAGAGAGAGAGAGAAAGAGAGAGAGAGAGAAAGAAAGAATCATAAATCAGAGCCACAGACTCATTCCCCTGCACCCTCTAGGACTAAAAATAATAATGACTCTAATCTAGCCTTTTTATTTTCTCTGGTCCTGCCCTACTGCTGAGAGTAGTGGGGCCACACCCTTCCCTTACCCTCAGATGAGTCCCACCCCAGCTGCCCTGGTTCCCAGCCCCGCGCCCTCCTGTGGGGAGGACACAGCCTGAAGTCACCCTTCAGCCCATGCAGGCCCAGCCCTCTGTGAAGAAGGGCAAAAGAACCAAGTTTGAATTTCTAAATAGAAACAAAGCTACACTTTTATAAATTTTTTCCCACTTCTTAGCCTCTGAAGGCAAAGATTAATAAAAAAAATACTTACCCTCTGTGCTTTCCCACTTTGGGGTATGAAACAAACAACCTTTTATGTCTGTTAAAGTGAATTAGTTAAAAAAAATCATATACATATGTACATATGATTCTTAAATATATGATATGAGTTAGGTCCTTTTCTAAAAAGCTGTTGTAAAGATTAATAAAACCTAGAAATTTAAATGTTATTTCTTTATTCACATTAAAGGGCTTATTAACTGGTTTGAATAGAATTTTATTTTGTTTTGTTTTGTTTTGTATTTGAGATAGGGTCTCACTATGTATTCCAGGCTGGTTTTGAACTCACTATGTAGCCCAGGCTGGCCTTGAACTCTCATAGATCCTCCTGCCTCAGCCTCCCAATTGCTGGTATTATAGGTGTGTTCCTGGCTGGGTAGAATTTTAAATAGATTTCATTTCTCTTATTTAGGAGATATATTAAATAATGATAGTGAAATAATTAGATAAAATCATTTTCTTTGGGCGCTGGGGATTTAGTTCAGCGGCACAGCACCTGCCTGGCAAGCGCGAGGTCGTGAGTTCAATTCCCAGTACCGGTGGGGAGAAAAAAAAATCATCTTCTTTGGGCTAGAGATGAAGCTCCATGGCCTCGAGCTTGCCTGGGCCCTCCAAATCCCTTGGTTTGATCCTCAGTGCTACTCCCCCTAATTATTCTCTCCCTCTCTTTAATTTAATTTTATTTATCTATTTATTTATTTAGTCTTTTGGAGACAGGGTCTCACTATGCAGTTCAGGCTGGCCTTGAACTTGCAACAATCCTCCTGCCTCAGCCTCCTTAGTGCTGGGATTATAGGCGTGTACCACCATGCCCAGCTCTCTTTTATTTTTTGAGATGGAATCTTTTTTCGTTCTCTTCTTCCCTCTCCTTCATCTTTGTCTCAACTTGCCTTGCTTTGCTGTGCCAGCAATCAAACTCAGGGCCTGATGTGTGCTAAGTGCATCTTCTACTACCAAATTACCCCTTACACCCAGATAAAGTTGTTTTCTATAAAATTTGGTATAACCGACACATGGTGGCCCATACCTGTAATCCCAGCACTCTGGGGAGCCTGTGGCAGGACAGTGGCAAATTCAGACCCAGTCTGGGCAATTTATTTTGTTCTGTTTTGTTTTGTTTGTAGTGCTGGGGAGGGAACCCAGGGCCTTGCACATACAAGGCAAGAGCTCTACCACTGAGCCATATCCAAAGCCGATGGACAATTTAGTGACTTAGCAAAATCCTGTTTTAAACATTTCTTCACAAGAGAACTTGGAGATGTAGTTCAGTGTGACATCCCTGTGTTAAATCCCCAGTACAAACAAGTAAATAAATAAAGCTTAAAAAAAAAAAAAGGAATTTAGTATAATCAATCTTCGTGTTGCTGTTTTACAAAGTCGGTGCAGTCAGCATGGTGCTTCAGTTATTTGTATACTTATGGGCCTATCTCAGAACGCCACAACGTTTTCTCTTGGCTCGAGTGTAAAGGCACAGTTAAACCAGACCTCAAACAAGGCAAAGTCCCCGCAGGAAAGCCATTGTTTGCACTGCCTCCCAAACCAGCTCTGCCAAGTGTGTGTTCCCACAGAAGAGGGTTCCTGAAGCCCGCTGCGGAGAGGAAGGCATAATCGAGGGGTCTAACTCTAGTGCTCTATCTCCACATATTTACTTCTGAGAAGTTAGTCAGTATTTATCACTTACTCAGTATTTACGGCTAAATTCTCCTTCTCTCCATGCCTTTGAACCTGCCGTCTTTTTTTTTTTTTTTTGTCTTTTTGAGACAGGGTCTCGCTGTGCAGTTCATGCTGGCCTTGAGCTCACTTTGTAGCCCAGGCTGGTCTTGAACTCGCAACGATCCTCCTGCCTCAGCCTCCTGAGTGCTGGGATTACAGGCACGCGCCACCATGCCCAGCAAAATTTTTTTTATACTTTACTTTTTTATACATTTTTTTTTTTGCAGACAGGGTTTTGCTATGCAGGTCATGCTGGCCTTGAACTTGCTATGTAGCCCAGGCTGACCTCAAACTCTCGGCAATCTTCCTGCCTCAGCCTCCTGACCACTGGGATTTCAGACATGTGCCACCACATGTGGCCTCTCTGCCAGCACATTTTTATCTTGAAGCCAGTCCACCACTCTAACAGTGAACCACATACTCCTCATTTTATTTTGAGATAGGATCTTGATAAATTGCTCAGGCTGTCCTGGAAAGTGCAACTGCCTGCCTCAGTCACCCAAGTAGCTGAGATTATGGGCCTTTGTCACCGTGCCCAGTACAAAGAGGAGTTTCTGCAGCACCACCTTTCAGTACTAGCTTCCTACCATGAGAACAGGCGAAAGTCAGGGAATAGGAGCCCGGAAACAGACACTATACAAGTGACTCAGGATTACTCACGAATTTGCCCGTAAGACATGTGGCATGTTCACATCAACTGACTACGATCACATTTTTTTTTACATGACACATCTTAATTCTTTTTACATCTCCTTTCCTTCCCAGCCTCTCCCTACTGATCTCTCCATGTCTCTGGTATCCAACCCTCAGTCCCGAAAGGTTTCTAAGAAAATCCTGGATGTCAACAGCACAGAGCCCGTGGCCCGGGTGGGCGGGGTGGGTCACATGGCAGGCACATTTATGCGGCTCGAATGTCCTCCCCAGGTTTAGCTCAGGTGTGCCCTTCGGCCACAATAGTCCCCAGAGCACCTTGAATATTAACCACGCTGATCGCTCACAGCTCACAAACAAGTGTTCAGAGGGGCGGGGAGGACTGCTGCTCCCTGCACAGCTGGCACACCTGGGCCCTCCTTCTGCCTCCCACCCTGACGCACGAGTCATAGGCTGCGTGTGACTTGGAGTAAAGTGTGCAGGGCTGGCGGGTAGCTCAGTGGCAGGGTTCTTGCGCACAGTGTGCGCGTCCTGGGCGTAAATGCTCTTGCGGTTATTCCTTGCAAGCTGTTTTAGGATGGTTCACAGGGGAGAGGGGAAGAAGGTGGTTATAATATGACAACTCAGTTGCAGGGTTCAGTTCAAATTCACATGAATGCACACACATACACATACACATACATACATGCAGTTCTAACAGTTCTGAGAGAGATGTGGTCCCTCCTGTATCCGTGCAAATCACTGGAACATGATAGACAGTTCCCAACTTATGAAAAGATTATGCAAATCTACTCTTTTAAACACAGAGTTTCACTATGCAGTTCAGGCTGGCCTCAAACTCAAAGCAATGCTCCTGCCTCAGCCTCCCAAGTGGTGGGATTACAGGTGTATGCCACCATGCCTGACTCCTATTCTATTTTTAAAACTGGCAGTATACTTTTTTGGGGTACCTGGAATTGAACTTAGGACCTTGCACTTGCCAGGCAGGTGCCATGCCACTGAGCTATATCTCTGGCCCTGGCAATATACTTTTTAAAAAACATATATAAATGGTAAAACTGAGGCATAACATATGTACAGTAAAAGGCAATAATCATAAATATCCAAGTTAATGAATTTTAGAACATATATTAAATATATACACACAATGTAGATTTATATATTTTTAGTAACCAGCCAAACAAATCAAGGTATAGCACCCAGAAATCATCCTTAAGCCCTCTCCTGCCAATAACTGTCTCAAAGGAAATTCCTACTCTGAATTTTATCCCCATAGATTAGGTGTGTGTGTGTTATACTGGGGACTAAACCTAGGCTCTTGTGCGTATAGGTAAATGCTCTACCATTGAGCTACATCCTCAGACCCTCCCCCTTAAAATTTCTTTCTTTCTTTCTTTTTTTTTTTTTTTTTTGGTACTAGGGATCAAACCCAGGACCTTGTGCTTGCCAGGCAGGCACTTGTGCCACTGAGCTATATCCCTGGCCCCCTTAAAATTTGAGATAAAGGTCTCATTAAGTTACCCAGGCGGGGCTCAAACTTGGAATCCTCTTGCCTCAGCCTCCTGAGTAGCTGGGATTAGTTGGGTATGTACCACTACAGCCAGTGACATTTTAAACATAACTTTTCAGTGATAGTATAATAGGCACAACAGACATCTAAAGGGTGGAGCTTGAGCAGTGTTTGAGTACAGGCATGCTCACTTCGGTGCGCAGGTGGTCGTCCCTTAGGAGTTCATGTCCTGGAGGCTCAGGTCCCATGGCGGTGGCATTGCGGTGGCCCATTCTAGGTCACCTTCCAAAATGGTTCCTGCTGGTTTCTGTGGGCAACTTAGCTCTGGCAGGAACAGCTTGTTAGAAGAACCGTCTCCCTTCCTCCTGCCCACCCTGTGCGCTGCAGCCGGGCTTTGCACCAGGATCCTGCACCGTGCTGTGACCCTCTGGCCGCCGGAATCGTGAGCCAAATAAACCTCCTTCCTTACCAAGCCCCAGCCACAGGCTCGAGTCGCAGCGACCCAGAACTGAGGAAGAATTGAGGGAGCGTGAGTATCACCGCCCGGGCAGCGCGCCCGGCCTCTCCCGGCCCGGGGAGACTTCCGCAGGCTCCTTCCGGTCAGCACCGGCTCGGGCGGCCCCTACTCTGGCTTCCATCGCTCTCGTGCAATTTGGCTGTTCCGGGCTTTACATAAAAGTCATTGTACAGAAAACTCACTCGTGTGGTTTCTGTTCAGACAAAACATGTATTTTGTAGGCAACGACAGTTTATCTTTTATCACCCTAGACTATTTCATCCTATAGCTTTTTTTCCCCCCTCTCTGGTACCGAGAATCGAACTCACGATCTTCCGTTTGCCAGGCAGGCTCTGTGCCGCTGAGCTAAATCCCCAGCCCCTCATCCTGTTCCTTTAACGTGCTTTATTTCTCATTTCTCTGCGCTCCTGCTGGGGGACACCGGGGTTGCTGCCCCCGTGGGGTTGCTGCAAGCACAGCTACTCTGAACACGCTGTGCGCTCCAGGCTCTGCGGACAGCTCGGGTCTGAGGACACCGGAGGAAGAGCTGCCCTGCGAGGAGGCTGGGAATCACCGCTGCCGTGCTTGCTGGGGGCTAACGTCCTCCAGGCCCGAGACCCCACGTCAGAATTACGTCTGGGTCTGTGACACCCTTGGGCCCCTCCTGACTTTTGGCCCTGGAAGCTTCAAGGCTCAGGATGTTCTGGCCATGGCTGTTACGCGTGTACCTGGCTCGTCCGTGGAGGAGTGGCCGAAACCCCTGACTACACTCCATCGGGCCGGGGAGTATTCTCTCGTGGATTTTGTTATTCTTTTTGGCTGTCAGCATCCAGATCCTCTCACACTCTGGAGAGGCTCCCTGGTGGATCTTGCGGGAGGCCCAGCAGAGCCAGGGACACAAAAGAGCACCTCGCTACCCAGGGCCGTCGGATCAACCCGGTGGGACATGGTCTGTCAGCCCCCAGCCTGGCCTGAGCCCTGTGAATGTTCAAAGGTGAGGATCTTTTTGTTTTGTTTTGTTTTTTGTTTTGAGACAGGGTCTCCACATTATGCAATTCAGGCTGGCCTTGAGCTCACTTTGTAGCCCAGGCTGGTCTTGGACTCGCAAGGATCCTCCTGCCTCAGCCTCCCGAGTGCTGGGATTACAGGCGTGCACCACCACACCTGGTTCTGAGCCCACTGAATGGAGGCACACAGGCTCCAGCATCCGAGGGGGTGAGACAGCTGGGCCCCTGGCAGAGGGTGGAGGAACAGGAAGTGCTCTGGGGCCATGGGTTTGCAGCTAGGATTTTAGACATTGTTCTTGCCACATGGCTTGGACCCCAGTTCTCCAGACCTCACTACCATTCTGTAAGCCACACAAGGTGTGAGCAAACTCTTCTTCCTAAACTAGCTTCTGTGGATTCGAACTAAAATCCCTGCTTGGTGTGGCAGTGAGGATTTCTACCAGAATTCCCCTGTGACTGAGTACAGACATCTACTGTTTTAGGCAGGCTGTCCTGTATAAATGGAGAGACCTTGTGTGTCGCTTACAATTTAAGCAATCTCGGTAAATGCCTACCAGGGGTCAAACATCTTGCAATAACTTTCATTTCTCCAAGGCATTTTAATGGGTTATCTATTAATCAAACTACAGGGCGAGCAGAATATTTAAAGATAAGCCAGGCACAGCCGTGCACACCTGTAATCTCAGCACTCCAGGAGGATCACAAGTTCAAATCCTGCCTAGGCAATGTAGTGACTTGGTGGGACCCAGCCTCACCACTGACCTGGGAGGCAGCTGAAATGAGCACGTGGGTGTGGCGCCGTGAGCGAGGTGCGGGCTGTTCTGTACACAGACCTCCAAAGGCGCCCTGAGCATGTAATAAATGCAGCCGCCAGCTACTGATGATCAATTATGCTTTTAGCAGAAAAATGTAACTAAATGTGGATGTCTGGGGGCGAGTGGTTTACCATGATTTCAGGCCCTTACCTTGTCTGCTCCCACTGGTGGGGCCACCATGCTTGGCCTACCCGCCACCTCCCGTGCCTTGCTCTTTTACCCTAAGGACATCAGACTCTGTGAGCCAAGCTGGGGTCGGGCTGTGCCCAGCTATTCGAGGCCGAGGGCCATGGAGCCCACAACTTTGCGGGCAGCCTGGGCAACACAGTGTGACTCAGTCTCAAAAAATAAAACCAAACAAGAGCCCATGTAACCAATGCACTACAGTGGAACAGCATTAACATGAAGTGGAACAGCATTAACATGAAATGGAAAACATAAAACTTTAACTATAGGAAAGTTACATGATCTAGGGGGAGCCAAGGAGAAGGAAAGCAGAATAATAGTTTTATTCATTCTTTATTGGTGCTGGGAATTGCATTGAGCTACATCCCTCCCCACCCCCTTTAATTCTGAGACAGTCCTGCTAAATTGCCCAGGGTAGGCTGGAATCCACCAACTTCCTGCCTCGGCCTCCCACAGTGCTGAAGTTACAGGAGGGTGTTTCTGCAAATACCACCAAAATCTTTCTCTACATAATCTGCACATACAAATACACACACAACACCGAGAATGGGAGGATGTGCTCTAAAACATGAATAGTAGCTGGGTGTGGTTGTGCATGCCTGTAATCCTAGCACTCGGGTAGGCTGAGGTAGGAACATTGAAAGCTTCAGCCCAGCCCCGGCAACTTAGTGAGACCCTGGGTAGAAGTAAGTCTCTGAACAAATAAAGGGCTAGAGATGTAGCCCATACGAAGGCCCTGGGCTCAACCTTCCATACCTCAAAAATTAACTATCTCCAGGGATACAACTATGGGCAATTTTGTGTTTGGGAGGAGTATGAACTTTTCTTTTCCTTTTTTTTTTTTTTGAGACAGGATCTCACTATGCAGTTCAGACTGGTCTTCAACTCACTTTGTAGCCCAGGCTGGCCTCCAGCTTGTAGGAATCCTTCTGCCCAGCCTCCCAAGTGCTGGGATTACAGGTGTGCACCACCATGCCCAGCTTTATTTTCTAAATAAATGCATTACTTATATACATTTTTTGGGGGATAGGGTCTTGTTGTGCAGAGTTCATGCTAGCTTTGAATTCACCTATGTAGCCCAAGCTGGCCTCAAATTCACATTAATCCTCCTGCCTCAGCCTCCTAAGAGCTGAGGCATGCCCCCCGCCAGTCACAATGAGAGTTTAACTGGCAAACAGGTCAGTGAATACTGTTCTGTCTTCAAGTTTTAGATCTATGCAGATAGTCTCATATTAAGTTTCAATTTAGAATGCATGTTAAAAGCCAAGTGGAAGAAAAAAATGAAAGGGAAATTTCTTTTGAATCTCACAGCTTGGCAACAGTGGCTGTTATTATTGTGTCCTCTCAAAAAGATAGACTCAGGTCCTAACCTTCAGTACGCAAAATGTGACCTTATTTGGAATGGGGTCACTGGAGATGCAATCAGGGTGGGAATATCGGAGAGGATGGGTTCAGGTCCAATCTGCCCGAGGTCCTCGCAGAGCAGCGGCCAGGGAGAAGCCGCACAAGGCTGGAGGCAGAAAGTCACAGTGCCCCGAACCCGGGGGCTGCAGGAGCCAGGAGGCAGCCCCACAGGTCTGAAGCCAGCATGAAGTTGGCCACATCCTGCCTGGCTCTGCCCGCAGCACCACCGGGACACAGGAACTCCGCGTTTTCAGCCCTGCCTGTGTTCCTTGGCTGCACTAGGAGCCCAGCTCTGTGGTTCTGACTTTTGCTTCTGTGCACATCGGTACGGAGGGGGAAGCCCCAGCTCACCTGAGACCATCACGATGTGCACATTTTCAATGCTTTCCCTTTTTTTTTTTAAGAGTTTAACTGGCAAATAGGTCAATGAATACTAAGAGACAGGGTCTTGCTGTATGGTTCAGGCTGGCCTTGAACACACTTTGCAGCCCAGGCTGGCCTCAAATTCATTGCGATCCTCCTGCCTCAGCCTTCCAAGTACTGAGATTACAGGCGTGCACCACTACACCCAGTTCATTTATTTTCTGATCAGAGGGAATACTTTTAAGAACATGATCTCAGATACAGGAATGCTAGGAAGCAAGCAAGACCACACAGAAAACAAAAGCTAACTGTAATTTTAATTCACCTAAGTACTGGAATAAAAACTTTAAAAAATCAGTGTTACAGCATTGGTTTTCAAAGATTAGCATTTACAGTTGTAGTAAAATAAAGCTTCACAAAGTTAAATGTCCTTAGCATTGAATAGTAACACGAACCTCACCCCTTACTGTTGACCCAAGGGCAAGGCTTTGCTCTTCCCTTAAGTATTTCTTCTTGAAGTGAAGTGCTAGCATGGCCCCCAGATCAAACAAAAACTGGGGTGCTGCAGTTGGTGCCAGTCGGGCTTTGCACGTCTCTAGGTGTCATCTCTTCTGGTGCAGCGAGCCCTGGGCAGCTTGGGAACCATGGAATAAAACACTCACCATCAGCACAAGGGCCTGCAAGTTTCATAACAAAGGAGACAAAAGTTCACCCAGTGACCAGCTCTCTCTTTCGTTTGTTTTTTGTGAGCCAACATTTTTTTTTTTGGTACTGGGAATCAAACTCAGAACCTGTGCTGCTGTGCTGCTGAGTTATATCCCTGGCCTTTTGTTTGTTTTTCTGAAAGTCTCACTGTGTAGTTCAGGCTGGCTTTGCACTCATCATGTAGCCCAGCGGGCCCTGAATTTGCAGCACTCCTCTTGCCTCAGCCTCCAGAGTGCTGGGACTACAGCCATACACCACCATACCTGGTGACCAACACTTGCTAAAGCCCCAATTTCCTCTGACCTCACCACTTTAGAAATTTCTGAACAGTTTGTTTGAATTGCAGCTCTATCAGGCAGAAACTGCTTTTACTCCTGAGAAATGGTGAGACACATCCTGCTGAATGGGACCAACAACAATGAATTAAACATTTAAAACGTTTCCATAGTGCTTGGATTCGACACAGGACCTCACACACACCAGATAAGTGCTCTACCACTAAGCACACCCCCAGCTCTGAAAAAGTTTTACACTTTTAAAATTTTGTGATAGGCTATTGCTATATTGTCCAGGGTAGTTTAGAATCTGTAGGCTGAAGCAATCCTCCTGCCTCAGCATCCCAAGTAACTAGGACTATAGGCATACACCAGTGCATGTCCCTGATGTGACTATTTTGTTTTGTTTTGTTTTTGAGACAGGGTTTCACTATGTAGTCCAGGCTGGCCTTGAACTCCAGGTAATCTTGCCTCAGCCTCCCAAGTGCTGGGATACCAGGTGTGTACCACCAGGTCAAGCCCTTGATGATTTTTTTTTTTAAAGAAAACTTTAAAAATCTTTGTTTCTAGTAACAAAAATAAAACATTTCTCATGAAGAAAGTCTCAAAGCCAGGATGGCTCTTAGCAAGATGGAACTTCCCAATAAACGGAAAGGAGAAGCCCAGTAAGCGGAGCATCACAGGGCCCTTCGCGTGGTCACAGGGAAGGAAAGACAGCAGCAGTCACATGGTACTGCTACCCACGAGTGCAGGACGGGCTGGGCAACGGCACATGGAGATGTGTCCCCGGTGACCCTAACTGCAGATACGAGGGGGCGGGTATGGGGGCCACGCCTGCAGTCCCAGCACTCTGGGAGGCTGAGGCAAGAGGACTGCAAGTTAAAGTCCAAACTGGGCAACTGATCCACGTAATGAGCATGTTTTTCAAATAAAAAATAAATAAGGGGCTGGGAATGTAGCTCAATGCGCAGGCCCTAGGTTCAAGCCCCAGGCCCACAAAAAGAAACGGCAGAGCCCAGGGAGCCCGAGAGCCACCAGAAGCACTGGCCTAAGGCCCCGTGCAGTGAGCATTAACAGCACACAGAGACCGTGCAGACACAGGGCCTGCGGTGAGCTGGCCGGGCTTGCTCATTTCAGACCTTTTCCGGGGAGTCTGTCCACTTCCAGACTCCTCCACAGGGTTCACGAACACAGCAGGCTCTGGTCTAAACCCTCTGCAAACACGAGTGCACTCAGCCCTCACAGCCTCCCAGGAGCGGGGAGGAATGGTCTTCCCGCATTGCGTCGGAGAAACAGGCACTGAGAGATTCCGCAATACCACAGCTAGTAGCCCACTTGCTCATCGCACCCTGAGGATAAGATCTCTCTAACAACCATGCAGTTTTTGTTTGTTTTCTTTTTGAGACAGAGTCTTGCTATGTAGTCCAGTCTGGCCTTGAACTCACTATGTAGCTCAGGCTGGCCTGAGACACACAGCAATCTTCCTGCCTCAGCCTCCCAAGTGCTGGGATTACAGGCGCGCGCCACCACGCCCAGCAGGCAATGTATGAGACAGACCAACAGGAAAGTGCACAGATGAATCCAGGCTTCTCCCATTTTTAGTGAAGGGCCTCGGCGGTTCCGGTCTGTTTTGAAATGTTTGCGTGAAATCACAGTCATCAACGCTGCCTACTGGATGAGCCAACTAGGAGCCGATTCAGGACGACTAGCTTCTCTACCAGAGAGTCTGGCATAAAAAAAGGCAGTAAATAAATAGTAAGTTGACTACAAAAAAAGTAGTTTCAAGTAAGGCTTAAGTATAACTTTGTACGTCCCAGTTCATTACTTTGTCATAGTCCTGAATTCTTTGCTTTATGTGGGAAAGTTTACTCTTGAGGTAATCACAGCGTTCTTTTTTTTCCAGAAATGAAGGATCCTAGAAAAGAAAAACAGCATTATTTTAGCATCCAGCTTCCTCAGCAATGAAGACAAACACCATCATCACCCAGAAAAATGGCCCCGTGCCTCAGTTTCCCCTGGGCAGACTGAGACACTGATTTCATCCGAACACAGTCATGCTCTCTGCTGGTAGAGACTGAGCCCCTGCTCTCGCGCATGCCAGGCACAGGCCCCACCGCTGAGCTACTCCCCAGCCCTCTGCCTTCTTAAAAAACAGACTTTATTTTTTCAAGTAGTGATAGCAAGATCAAGCGGGGAAAAACAAAGCGCCGAGGCAGTGTGGGTTTGGAACATATAAAAAGTTAGCAGCGGCTGCAGAAAAGGCGAAGGAAGGTGCTCTGGCCTCTTACTGACGGGGAGATGAAGAGCAGGCGGAAGCTGTAAAGGAAGTTAAGGTTCTGGAAGGAAATGGGGGAAGTTACAGGTCAGAGCTCGTTTCCCTGGGCTGTGGTGTGGACACAGTAGAAAGTATTAGGGCAGAGATTCAAAGAAAAGGCATCTGGCACCCACCAGTTTTCCCTATAGCCGGCATTTTAAGAAGTACAACCAGGCCGGGCGTCGTGGCGCATGACTGTAATCCTAGCACTTGGGAGGCTGAGGCAGGAGGATCACTGTGAGTTCAAGACTAGCCTGGGCTACAAAGTGAGCTCAAGGGCAGCCTGAACTGCATAGCGTGGAGACCCTGTCTCAAAAAAAGACCAAAAAAACCCCCCCAAAACAAAAAAAGAAATACAACCAGGGGGCCAGGGTACAGCTCAGAGGCACAGTGCCTGCCTGGCAAGTGCATGGTTCTGAGTTTGATTCCCAGCACCAAAAAAAGAAAAGAAATACAACCAGATATCACATCACAGAGCTTCACACGTACCCATGTTTACAGCAGCACAACTCATAGTAGCTAAATCTGGAAAGTAGCCTACATGCACATCCCCAGAGGAGGGACGGGTAAGGAACGTGTGGTGTTTCTACACAATGGAGTATGAACAGTCTGAGTCACTTGTAGGAGAATGGGTGCTCCCTGAGACCATAACGTTAAGTGAAATAAACCAGATCTGGAGGGTTCAGTATTTCACAGTTTCTCTTACAAGAAACTCCAAGTATACATAATTTAGGAGCAAAATAAAAGCTAGATGCTTGGAAAGGGGGTAGACTTAGGGGAGGCTGGGAAGGAGGTTTAGGGATGGAGAAGACGGAAGGAAAGATGGGAGGAGAAAAGGACCAACACGAGAGATGTGCATGTTCTAGCTCCCCACGGTGAGCAGATTGATTACGTGCTGCAAACACACACGGTACTAACAAAAGCGGGGAAAGGAGAGAAACGCTCTCTGAGGACCGTGTTCTCCAGGGCATGCCTGAGCCCGGGAGCAGGCGCTTCCTCTGCGTACACACGATGAGGTTCAAGTCTCAGGTCAGGCGCAGCGCAGACTAACACTACCAGCTAGCAATAAAAGGACAATGTGAACAAGACTGCAGGAAAATGGCGAGCACCAGCACTCTGCTTGGGGCCACCGCTCAGCAGAGACTCTAGCTCCCAGATATCAGCCCAGTTCCCTCGACAGACAGCTGCCAGCGACCGCAGCGGGGGATGCTGGGCCCTGGGCTGATCCATGCCAGGGGCAGGACGGGGCAGGGGTTAGAGATCTTGTCACATCACTCACAGGGTGCATGATTTAAGATTGAGGAATTCAGCCACACGTGGTGGTGCATGCCTGTCACCCCAGCACTTGGGAGGCTGAGGCAGGGGGATTGCTCTGAGTTCGAGGTCATTGTGGGCCAAATAGTGAGTTCAAGGCCAGCATGAACTACATAACAAGACCCAGTCTTAACAACAACAACTTAGGAACTGTTATTTTTGGAACTATCTATGGAATACTTTCTGACAGTGGTGAACTGTACCTAAGTGAAACCTTGAAAACAAGATCAAGCTAAGGAGGACGACCGCACCTCAGCTGAGAGGACCTGAGGTCGGGCAGCAGTCAGGGCGCACCTGGGTAAGAACACTGTGAGGAAGAAAACTGTTCTACTCACGTTCTTCTTCCTCCTAAATTCTTCATGGATTCTGGAAATTCTTTCATGTTCCTAAAAATAACAGAATACATGGGAGTTAAAACATTCGCACTTCAAAAAAAGGAAAAAAAGCCGGGTGTGGTGGGGCACGCGTGTAATCCCAGCACTCAGGAGGCTGAGGCAGGAGGAGCATTGTGAGTTCGAGGCCAGCCTGGGCTACATAAGTGAGTTCAAGAGCAGCCTGAGCTGCATAGTGAGACCCTGTCTCAAAAAGACAGAAAACAAAACAAAACATTCACATTTACTCAAATCATGTCTCAAATAACACTGGAAAGAAAATAATTTTTACTTAAAACTGTAGTTCTATAAAACTATAGAATATTCATATACAAAAGAGAATTTACTGGACACGCACCTGATGGCCCACTGCCTGCAGTCCCCAGAGGCAGGGAAGACGGAGACCGAGGTCTCTGCTAAGGCCACAGCCCTGTCCAGTGCCCTTGCTGCCAGCTGTGGGAGCCTGGCAAGCTCTTGTCCCTAAGACTTGGTGTCCTGATCGGTAAAATGGGAACCATGACCCTCACAACCTCAAAGCATTGTGGGAAGGTTCACTTGTAAGTAAAGTGCTCAGTACATAGTAACTACAGCAGGTTTTTTCTTTTCTTTCTTTTTTTTTTTGTGACACTAGGGATTGAGCTCAGGACCTTCTACTGAGCTACTTCCCAAGCCTTCTCCCACCTTGTGTTGAGATAGGCTCTTGTTAACCTGCCCAGGCTGGGATGGAACTTGAGATACTTCTGCCTCAGCCTCCCAGAGAGCAGGGATTACAGCTGTGCCCCACGTCCTCACCTCCTCTTCTCAATACTTTTTTTTTTTTGAGACAGTGTCCTGATATGTGGCCCAGGCTAGTCTCAAACTCAGGCCTCAGCTTCCCAAGTGCTGGGGTTACAGGCATGTGCCACCAGACCTGGCTCTTCCCAGTACATTTTAATGCCTTGAGCTCTGCCACCTACTACGAGCATGAACATGGTGTGTGGTTTGATTATTTGCTAGAGGTGAAGATGAACCCAGCAGTTCAGCCACAGTGTACGGCCCAGACCCTGGCCAGGGAAGAACTGGCTGCCGGGCGGGGGCGCTGGGCTGGAGGCGCAGGCACAGCAGCCTGTCCGGAAGCCCAGCGAGGTTCCAGGGCTCGCTCTGCTTCTCATGGGCAGACACTGCGGTGTGATGGAGCTGGGTCTCGAAGGCCTCCCTCCCGCGCTGGGCCCTGGCTTCAGCTGTGGCCCTGAGAAGTTAACCGGGGTGCAGCTGGGCCTTACTTTAGTGAGGACCGACTGGAAGTGACTTGCTCCGGGTGTGTCAGCCCCTCAGCTCTGCAGCCACCTCGCAGCCACACCCAGCCCAAGCCACGCACATGCCCTGGGCCCCGCTAGCAGACCCTGGCCCGCGGCCGGCCCGGTGCCAGCCGTGCTCATCTGCACACCCCTCTTCTGGAGACCTGGTCTTGCTACGTTGCCCAGGCTGGCCTCAAACTCTGGGGTTTAAGAGATCCTTCTGCCTCAGTCTCCCGAGGAGCTGTGCTCCTCTGGGGAAATCTACCCTGCTGGGCACAGTGGACGGTGCTTGTTTCCAAATGGTTCTAACTGAACCAGCCTTCAGTACCGGCTGGATTTTTTTCTGCTTCCTGTTATGAACTCAAATTAGCACTACGCCATCATTTCAGGATTGGGAAAACTCATACGGGGTCTCAACAGGGGAAAAAAAAATATATATATATATTCTATATACACACACATACATACATGTGTGTACTGACATGCATAAAGGCACTGGATTTTTTTTTTTTTGCGACAAGATCTCACTGTGTAGTTCAGGCTGGCCTCAAACTCAGAGCAGTCCTCCTGCTTCAGCCTCCCAAGTGCAGGGATTACAGGCACGCACTACCATGCCCTGATGAATAATGTTCTTTTTTTTTTTTTACTGGGAATCAAATTCAGAACCTTGTGCTTGCCAGGCAGGTGCTTGTGCCCTTGAGCTATATCCCCAGCCCTGAATGATAATCTTGACCAGTTATCATCTTGAAGATCTCAAATGCTTTCCTGGACAGCAGACAGATGGTTCTGGATTTCTGAGAGTCAGTCTGCCTGCCCGTACACCTCAGCGCTCCTCTACCGAGGGCAGCTGCAGACACTGACCTGCAGGTTTTCCGAGCGATGTGGCAGCCTGCTCATCATGGCATCCAGCTTGTCCAGCTTCCTCAGGACAGCATGGACGTCCGCAGACAGCTCCTTGTACTCTGAAAACTGGTCCTGGAACACGGCTTTGTAGCGCTCTCGTTCGTCATCTGTCTGAATCACAGGGTATTTTCTAAGGGAAAAGCACAGACCTAAGTTTCACCAGAACAAGCTCAGCGAGCATCAGCTGCGTGTTCTTCAGGGGCCACACGCTACCTTCGGTTCGCCAGCCACCCTGACTACGGACACAGGGTCCCACAGATGAGCTCACGAGCATTCACTGCAGGTGGACAGGAGCACGAAAGGCCTGGGCAGGACCCTTGACCGCTACCCCAGGGATGAGACACTCACGCCACGTAGTCAGGCATCACAATGGGTTTCGGAATGTGGCCCGGGGGGATCGATTTTGTTCTCCATTGTTTGAAATAAACTTCTGGGTCTCTCTGTCTGTCACTGGTGACCATTTCACACTGCAGAAAGGGACAGAAAAATGACAGGTACATAAACAAGAGCAGAGGAAAAATACCTGCGGTGATTCCTAGGCGCGAGCGGAAGGAGAGAGGGAACAGTGGAAGGAGTAACGAGCGTTTCGTGTCTCCCCCGAGGAGTGCACACTTGCCCGCTTGATGGACTGACGGATCTGCGGTACTGGGGATTGGACCCAGGCTCATATGTGTCCAGCCCTTCAATGTTGTTTCCCTTCTTCAAATTTTGAGACTGGGTTTCACTAAATTGCCCAAGCTAGCCCTCAACTTTCAATCCTTCTGCCTCAGCTTCCCAATTAGCTGGATTACAGGTGTGCGCCACCATGCCTGGCAGAATTCCGTTTTATGTCACAAATGTGTACTGAGTGTTTTTGTAACAGCTACAGGGACTGTAATAGGTAAAACACCCTCCAATCTCAACCCTGTATAGTGCAGAGATGGGTGGTGAATGCCAAATGAGAGGGCTTCGTACTCAAAGGTTTATACCCCAACTAAGTATAAAAGTATTTTATTTTTTGAGACAGCCTGGCCTTGAACTTACTTTGTAGCCCAGATTGTTCTCGAAGTCAAAGTGATCCTCCAGCCTCAGGTTCCTTTGTGCTGGGATTACAGGTGCGCACTAAAAGTATTTTAAAGTGCAGTTCAAAATAATAAATTTAGAGGAAAAATGGAATATGCCTATGTAAATGGAAGGGAAAAATGAGAGGAATCCATTCTAAGCAGCCACTAGGAACAGGGGTGGGTAAAGAGTTGAGCTGCTCTCATTATCTGAAAAGCAAGCAAACCCGCTCCTCCTGCCTCAGCCTCCCGTGCTGAGGTTACAGGTGTGGGTCACCATGCCCAGCTCGTGCCTGTTTTCTGCAGTGCTGGGGACCACACCTGGCCTCCTGCACGAGGCCAGTGCTCCGGCAGACAGCACGGTCCCAGCCTTACCGCCCTGATGGGTTCACACGAGTCGGGGACACCCATGTACTCAGCGTAGTGGGGTCTGCGCATCCTGCAGTTCCTGACGCTCCAGGAGCAGCGGGGGAGGAGTTGGGGGTGGGGGCAATGGCTCAGGCGGTGCCACTCTGCCAGAGGAAAGCAGATCCCGCCTGGGAGCAGCAACCCTGCTTCGCCTGCCTGTGAGCCTTCAAGGGGACTGGGACGGGGACGGGGTGGGCGGCAGCAAAGGCCAGGAGGGGAAGGGAAGTAAAAAGGATCAAGACGTGACAGAAGTCCGCTCCGCGATTGTTATGTAAAAAACAAACACAAAACACTAAACCAAACAAAATCCAAAAAAAGAAACAGGCAAACAAAATACCAAACAAGATTTTGCAACCTGGTTCTCTACCTTCTCCAGCTTGCAAGGCAGATTTTAGACCCTGAGGCAGGTGCTGAGGGTTGGTTTGGGGTTAGCTTACTTCATGAACCAGTGCTCCTGCCCGGAGGCCGAGCCTGCACCGCTGAGCACTGGAGTGGGAGGCCAGGAGGAGCGGGACAGAACCAGTTGGCAGGAAGGTGGGCCCGGTGGGAACGGGGCGCTGAGCAAGTGCGGGCAGGGGACTCTGGGGGCGCATCTGGGGTTGTGTCCATCCTGCCCGGCCCTTGGCTGCTTAGGGTGCCATTTCTTCATCTCATCAGTGTCGAGAGTGAATTCCGGTTTAAACATCCGGGGATAATTCTGGGTTTGAATAAGGGCACTTCTGTTTCCGGGCATCTTTAACTTCTAAACATCTGCAGTCTCTTGGGCGGCCCGGCAAGCTGCGCGGTGCTTGTTGGTCCTCTGGATCTCAGCAAGGCCCAGCCCTGTCTCAGCTGTCCTGGGCAAGTCCTGGGCTCTGCCCAGGGGTCACACTGGGCACGAGAACACAGTTATTTTCCAGGTAACATTTCTCAGAGCCAGAGCGGTTCATTTTCCTTCCTTGCCAGCCCCTAAGTCTCAGCTACCGGCTTTTTTTTTTTTTCTCACGTGTGCCAGGCAAAGGGAGCTAAGCCCTCGGCCTTCCTAGGTTTCCTGATCGTCTAACCTTGATCTGTCCTCGACATCAACACCCTTTGCAATCTGAAAGTTCCCACGCACAGAATATTACTGTAGGACTCTGGCTACTGCAACTGTTCCTGGCTGCGGGGGAAGTATGCGTTCCCGCAGTCCCTCCAGGTGGGATGCACCCCCAAAGCCTCCTTCATGGGCTGCCTGGGGGAAGACAGCACTTTCCACTGAGTCATACTCGCTTTCTCTGAACTAACCCTGAAGACAGCCCCCTTTGTCAGAGAGGGAAGCTGTACTTAAACCTCAAAGGGCTTTAAATTTATTATTATTAAGAAGTAATTTTGGAGCCAGGTGTGGTGGCGCATGCCTGTAATCCCAGCACTCGGAAGGCTGAGGCAGGAGGATCATTGTGAGTTCCAGGCCAGCCTGGGCTACAAAGTGAGCTTAAGGCCAGCCTGACTGCATAGCAAGACCCTGTCTCAAAACGACAAAAAGAAAAAGGCATACTGGGAATCAGACACTAACACAAAGTATGATGAATAACCTGGTGTGGTGGTCCACACCTGGAATCCCTGGCACTCTGGAAGGCTGAGCCAGGGAGATCACAAGCTCCAGGCCAGTCTGAGCAACCAGCCAAGACCCTGTTTCAAGGGGAGACATGGGAATACAACGAGAATTATGTATTCTGTATATGTAACGATTCCCCATGATGACGGGAATCATTGTGTACCGCAAATGTGGATTAATAAAACTAAAAACATTTTGAAAAGCTATAAAGAAATGGTATTTCAAGGGGCTGGGGATTTAGCTCAGCGGCAAAGCGCCTGCCTGGCAAGCGCAAGATCGTGAGTTCAGTTCCCGGTACCGAAGAAAAACCAAAAAAATAAAAAATAAAAAAAAAAGAAATGGCATTTCAAAGAGCCTGAGGCTATGGGGATATAATTCAGTGGGAGTGCACTTGCTTAGCACAGTGAGGCCCTAGTTCAACCCTCAGCACTGAAAAGCGAAGAAATGATGAAAACAGGCCATAAAGACCTCACAAAATAGAAGGCGGTAACTCTCTCCAGAGTCCAAGGTGTATAGGCTGGGGCTCTGGTCCATGCTGCTGTACAGACAGGAGCTCAATATCCTGCCGGGGTCCTGTCCCGCAGCACTCACTGCAGATGGGCCACATCACCTTCATTCTCCTCTGCTGGTGTTTTGGATTTTCCTTTTTTCAGAGCCGGGGACTGAACCCAGGGCCCCACACCTGCTGTGCAAATAAATGTTCTACTGCTGAGCCACAAGCCCAGCCCAAAGTATCCCTTGATTTACAGACAACCACGAAAATCCTAGCAAAGTTATTAAGCCATTTCCACCACAAGTCATATACCTCCATGTGTCAGAAATAATTTACTGCACCTGATCCTTTAAAAATTGTGACTGCTGGGCATAGTGGTGCATGCCTATAATATCCCAGCACTTGGGAGGCTGAGGCAGGAGGACTGCCTCATGTTCCAGACAAGCCTATGTTACATAGTGAGACTCAGTCTCAGGAAGAAAAAAAAAAAAAGAAGTATTTCCTCTTTTTATTTATTTATTTTTAATTTTTGAGACAAGGTCTCAATATGTTGCCCAGGTTGGCTCCTAACTTTCAATTCTCCTGCCTCAGCCTCCTGAGTAGGGGGTACTATAGGTACACAGCCTTGTGCCCAGAGGTAGACTCTGGACACACAATTACAGCCTTCTATTTTGTAAGTTTTTTTGGTTTATTTTCATCATTTCTTTTTTTTCAATGCTAAGATTTGAACTAGGGCCTCACCCATGCTAGGCAAGTGTGCTCCCACTGAATTATAGCCCCATACCTTTTCCAAAGGTATTTTCAAAATATATTCACTTATTATTTCTGTGGCGTGAGAAACCAAAAGTGTAAATAAGGACCAAAATGTATAATAGGTATTGTGAAATAGGAAGAAAATATCCAAATGGGGAGGGGAACAAAGGAGGGGGCAGGGGAAAGAAAGAAGGGAAAAGGAAAAAAAGAAAAAAAGGGGAAAAAACGGAAACAAAGCTTTTGTAAATGGGGAGGGGAGGAGGGGTTGAAGGGAGAGGAGGGAGATAGGAAAAAAGAATTATGTTGTATCATGTACAGGTACAAATTCTCTACATGAATGTGACCATTATGTATACCTAAATGTACCAATAAAGTCTGATTGAATAAAAAAAGCAACAAGGAAACCCCCCAAATATATTCACTTAACAAAATACTTGTACAAACTCCCAACTCAATAGAAAACTGGACAGAATATGAACAGGCATTTAGAAGGGATGGAAATGTAAACATAACATAAAAACAATGTAAAACCTCACTCTACACTGAAAGAGAAATTATACCCCATCATAATTACAGGGACTGCTATTTTTCCCAGTGAGACCGAAAGATGTCAACATGACCTCAGCCGGGGTGGGAGTGGGGGTGGCGGGGGGGGGGTGAGGGGTGGTGGCAGAAGTTGGTTAAAACCTCTACCGCACAATCTGGCACAATCTGGCAATCCGAATAAAAACGGCCCCTTTCGAATCCCCAGAACTTACAACTGAAGGGTATTCGGAACATGGGAGTGAGGCTGTCTGAGCAGATGCAGGTAGGTACACGGCTGCTCATTGCAGCGGTGCTGTCTTCTTCCCGGGTGCTGGGGACGAACGCAGGGTCTTACACAGCGTAAGCCACGGGCCCAGCACTGTACCAAGTGTTTTTAATAATGGGAGACTGCAAACAGCCTGCGTCAGTGAGGGCTTTCAGTGAGAACAAACAGCTGGCTGCTGCGCTATGTGTGCCCTACGTGTTCATTTATAGTTAAATAGGGCCAGAGAGGGGCTGGGGATTTAGCTCAGCGGCAAAAGCACCTGCCTGGCAAGCGCAAGGTCGTGAGTTCGGTTCCCGGTACCGGAGAAAAAACAAAAAAAAAAAAAAAAAAAAAAATAGGGCCAGAGATATAGCTCAGGGGCACAAGCGCCTACCTGGCAAGCGCAAAGTCCTGAGTTCAATTCCCAGTACCAAAAAAAAAGACATTATAGTTAAACAAATTATGGCCCATCCATACAGTGCAATTCTACGATATTATACAAAAGGAATGCCCAAGTTCATTATGGAGTGAAGGTGCCAAGCGCTGTGTAGCGCAACACTCAGGAGGCTGAGGCAGGAGGACGGTGAGCCTGAGCTAACACGGCGAGTTCAAGGCCATCTTGGCCTACACAGTGAGACCCTGTCTCAAAAAAGAAAAAAAAAAAAAACAAGCATGGTGGCCCACACCAGTCATCTGAGCACTCTGGGAGGCCGGGGCAGGATAGCAATCTTGAGTCCAGTCTGGGCAACTTTGAGAGAGCCTGCTTCAAAATAAAAAGTAAAAAATGTCTGGGATGTAGCTCAAGGCCTGAAGGTTCAAGCCCAGTACGACCCCCACCACAACTGCATAGCATATACTAGTAGGAACATGTCAAGCGCTCATGTGTACAAGTGTCAAGTATGAAAAGCAGAATTCAAAGTTGTGTCGATAGGCAAGAAGACGAGAAAAAAAGATGAAAATAAATTAGTAGGATTATAACTACAGCACCTCACTGATCTCAGCAAACCTGTGAGATAGAAATGATTATCATTCTAATTTCAGAGTAAGAAGCAGAAGGATGGGGAGGTTAGATCATCGGTCACATAGCCAGCCAACCAGGGAACAAGAATTCCCCGACACTACAAAACCTCACCACTGACCACAAACTGGGAAGGACAGAAAAGAATAGCAAAGAACTTTAAAGAGAAATGAAGAAAATGTGGGAGACACACTTTCATTTAAAAAGATTCACAATTTAAAAAGTTAACACGAGAGGAGCTATAGATAAGACTTGTTTAATTTGATTCTTTAGTATTAGAAAAAGCTGAGAAGTCTTCGTATGACCTCAATGGGACAGTTACATTTCGATGAATGGATGATTCTACTGTGTAGACATGCAGAGATGAGGGAAAAGTATTTAGCAAATCTAGAGACAAAGCATAATGTGATGTAAACTTAACTCTTACCGTTCTCCTTTTCAATGGCACTGATGATTCGCAGATCTAGAACAGAAAGAGTGAAAATGATTCTTCCCAGCGTGGGCTCCTTTGCAAATGTTCCCATGCATCTGCACTGCCAGCCCAGCCCCAGCTCCCAATGGCTCCTCTCCTGCTGGGGTCTCCTGGCCCAGAGCCAGAGGGCAGCTACTGGGGTTCCCTGGCCATCAGGAGCAGAGAGGGCAGGGAGAAGGGGGATGTGGACATGGGTAGGTGAGCGCAAGATATATCTAGAGGTTGTATTTATCCTGGTTCTCATGACGTTGGATGACTAGAGTTCAAACAGTTATTCTATAAAATTAATAGAAAAAAGTCAAAGGCCAAGGGTAGGTGTGGTGGCGCATGCCTGTAACCCCAGCACTCGGGAGGCTGAGGCTGGAGGATTGATGCAAGTTTGAGGCCAGCCTGGGCTACAAAGTGAGTTCAAGGCCAGCCTGAACTGCATAGTGAGACCTTGTCTCCAATCAAACAAACATAAGTCAAAGGCAGTACATCTTCTAACCTTTAGGCGCTTATAGCAATAAATAGTAACAACCTTCAACATCAGGTAACTCAGATCTAGTTAAGTGTTATAAAAAGGTTAGTAGAAATAAGTTTTTGCTGAGAAGGAAATAATAAAATATCCTTGTTAATAATTATGATATTAACATAGAATTTTTAAACACTAAGATTTAATAGCTAAACTTGAAAAAAATAACTAAACTTGGCATGGGGGTGCATCCGTGTAATCCTAGCACTTGGGAAGCTGCAGTGGGAGATGGCAAATTCAAGGCCAGCCTGGGCTACACAGGGAGTTCAATACCACTATTGCTGGACTAAACAGCAAAAACGCTATCCAAAAACGAAATACCCAAAATACTTATTAAACTAGTGTAAAATTATGAGGAAGAGTGTCAGTCTCAGTATCTGGATTTCATACTGATTAAATTTATACTTCTTAGCCAGTTATGGTGGTTCATCCCTGTAGTCAGAGCCCTTGGAAGGCTGAGGCAGGAGGATTACAAATTTGAGCCCAGGTTGAGCAATTTAGCAATTTAGGGAGACTCTGACTAAAAATAGAAAATAAAAAGACCTGGGAACCCAGCTCAATGCAAAAGCCCTAGGTTCAATCCCCAGTAACCCAAAGAAAGTACTTCGATCCTGCAATTTAAAATTTTTTATGGGTTTTAAATTAAATTTCATGATATGAAAGAATCAAGATTGTCAGATGTAACTCTTTTTGAAGGGTGAGGAGGGAGACATCGGAGAGGGAACCCAGGGCCTCACACGTGCTAGACAAGCACTGCACCTCTGAGCTATATCCCCAGTCCTTAAAAAATTTTACTCTGAGACAGGGTCTTGTTAAAATTACCCAGGCTGAGCTCAAGCTTGTTCCTGCCTCAGCCTCCTGAGTCACTGAGATTACAGAGCTGTGCCACCGCACTAGGCTCAAATTTACTTTTTTTTTTTTTTGGTCTTTTTTGAGAGAGGGTCTCGCTATGCAGTTCAGGCTGGCCTTGAGCTCACTTTGTAGTCCAGGCTGGTCTCGAACTCCCAACGATCCTCCTGCCTCAGCCTCCCAAGTGCTGGGATTACAGGCGTGCGCCACCACGCCCGGCTCAAATTTACTTCAAGGCACTTCTTTTACTGAGCACGCTGTTCCTCACTGAAACTCAAGCGTTTTTCTCTTCGGCATCTGCCCGCAGTAACAACGCAGTCAACCAACTATCTGACGTCTGCTTGCATTAACAAGCGGACTTCCAGCGTGGGTCACCCCAGAGCAGGCTGGACACTAAGATGCACGCCTTAAACTGTGGGAGGAGCCTTGTTCCCGGCGGGTGCGGGTTGCGGGTTGCGGGACCAGCGGCCTCGGGCCCACGCACCTCCGCCTGCTCCGCGCGCTCGCGGTGCCTGCGCGCCGCCTCGTGCCGCCACAGCTTGAGGCTGACGAGCGCGCTCACGAGGTACGTGAGCATGGTGGCGAACAGGAAGATCATGGCCGCCACCTGCCCGCTCTCCACGCGGCAGAGGCCCGCGTTCAGGGGCATGTTTAAGACCGGGTAGTAGCAGAGCCCCCCGCGGTTGGTGTCGTTCACGTAGACCACGGCCGCGGCCATGTAGAGCACGAAGAGGGCCACGTTGATGGCGAACTCGGTGAGCGGCCACCAGTCGGAGTCCAGGAGGATGGTGCGGTAGTACAGCGACAGGCCGAGCACCAGCACGATGAGCGTGGCGATCCAGGCCAGGCCGGCCGCCACCAGCACAAACGGGGTCCGCGGGCCCGAGTACTGGTAGCCGCCGCCGTAGGCGCCGCCCAGCCCCGGCGCGGCGTAGGGCAGCGCGAGCCCGAACAGGTTGTACCACTCGCTGTCCTTGTGCACGTAGGCGGTGACGCACGCGAACACCGCGGCGCCCAGCAGCAGCTGCACGGCGCCCAGCAGCCGCAGCAGGCCGGCCCAGGACTTCATGTAGGCGTAGCGCAGGTGGTACCGCTCCACCTGCTCGCGGTAGGCGGAGCTCGCGCCCGCGCCGCGCTCGGCGGCCGCCCTGGCCTCGCGGCCCGACCCGGACGGCGCGGGGGAGCTCGGCGGCGAGCACTCCACGCCCGCGGAGATGTAGCCCAGGCCCGGCGCCGCGCGCTTCCCCCGGAAGAAGTCCTTCCAGGAGTCGGGGATGAAGCGGCGCACCGGCTTGAGCTCCGGCGGCGCCGGGGCGGGCTCCGGCTCTTCCGCGTCGCCCGAGGGGAAGGCCGGGCCGAACGGAGGCTGGGCCGGGAGAGGCGGCGGCGGCAGGGGATCGGCGCTCACAGCCAGCTGCAGCTCGCTGTCCTGGAAACTCTGGAAGGAGTCCGGGACGCTGGGGCTGGGCGGCTCCCTTGGGACCTCATCTACCCGTCTCCTGGATCTTCCATCATTGCGCGACATTTGTGATTTTCACACCTGTGGCCAAGATGACAGTTAACACTTACTCTTCTTGTTTTCCCTTCAAACTAACATCTTTTCAGTGATGCTGATTTTATTCACTTAGTAGCAAAAAGGTCAGGAGACCAACGTGATCTTAGTTTTTAGAATATGTAAAAATAATAAGATAAATGTGTATTTTCAGCTGGGCCTGGTGGCTCAGGCCTGTAACAATCCCAGCACTCTAGGAGGCCTAGGCAGGAGGACTGCAGGTTCAAGCCCACTCTGGGAAACTTAGTGACTTAGTATCTCAAAGTAAAATTTTAAAAACATGCTGGGGATGTAGCTCATTGTGAAGGCCTTAGGTTCAATCTCCAGCACTGCAATAAACAAAAAAATAAATGTAACAGTTAAATTACCCAGGAATGTATTCTTTGCCACTTAAAGTGCAATAAAAAATTTAAACATTAGTTTTACAGACTGGCATACTGGCTGAGGATGTGGAGTTGCACACACCTGCTGTCTCAGCTATTCAGGAGCCTGAGGCAGATCACCTGAGCGCAGGACCAGCCTGGACAACTGAACGACACCCTGTCTAAGGAAAAGGCATGGAAATTAAACGATACCCTCCTGAATAATCAACCGTCACAGAAGAAATCAAGGAAGAAATTAGCTCACAGAATCAAACAATAATGCCAGCACAACGACCGGGAACCTCTGGGACACAATGAAAGCAGTTCTAAGGAGGAAGTTTAGAGCTGGGGTCAGAATGAGCCCGACCAAGTAAGCTGATGATGCACTACCAAGTCCTAGGAAAAAGGAACAATCCAAACGTAAAGCTCGTGCAAGGAAGGAAATCATAAAGATCAGAACAGAAATTAATAAAATAAAGGCTAATAACACAGTACAAAGAATCAACAAATTGAAGAACTGGTTCTTTGAGAGAATAAGCAAAATAGTTGGGCATGGTGGCAAATGCCTGTAATCCTAACATTCAAGTGGCCGAGTCAGGAGGATCACTGTGAGTTCAAGGCCAGCTTGAATTACATAGTGAGACCCTGTCTCAAAAAAAAGAAAAAAAAAAAGATAAAAGAGAAACCCCCAGCCCAGTGATGGTAAGCCTTTTAGAGCTCACAAGGATATTAACAACCCATTGCAGTGCGTGTGCCATAGATCTGCCACCGATGCCTTAGCCAACCTCACCAAAAAAAACCCCAAAAAGCAAAAAAACCCAAATCAATGCAATTAGAAATGAAAAAGGTGCAATCATAACAGACTGTCAAAATTCAGATTATTAGTGTAGTTACTACTTTGAGAAACTGTATTCTAATAAAATAGACAATTTCGAAGAAATGGACAGATTCCTATATGCATATGAACTACCAATAAGACAAAAACCCTGGCTAATCCAGTATCAGGCAATAAAACTGAAGAAGTAATAAAAAAACACTACCAATTACTAGGAAAAGCCCACAACCTGATTGGAATCACAGATGAATTCTACAAGAACTTTAGAGAAGATCTAACATCAATATTACTCAAACCCTTTAATGAAATTAAAAGAGGAGCAGTTCTGGTTAAAGTCATTCCTGGAAACTATCATTACCCTGATTCCAAAACCAGAAAAGAACCTCACTAGAAAAGAAACCTACAGGCCAACCTCTTTAATGAACAGATCTGCAAAGATCCTCAATAAGATACTGGTAAACAGAATGCAGGAAATCACCAAAAGATCACACATAATGACCAAGTAGGAGTCATCCCATGGATGCAGGGATGGTTCGATACAGACAATTCAATAAATGTAATACGTCACATAAACAGAAGCAGGAACAAAGCATAAGATCATCTCAACCAGTGTAGAAAAAGCATTTGACAAAATACAACATCCATTCATGATAAAAATCCCAAGGAAAATGGGTATAAAAGGACCCAATCTCAATCTGGTAAAAGCCATTTATGAAAAACCAATGGCCAACATAATATTAAAATGAGGAAAAGCTGAAAGCTTTCCCTCTAAAATCAGGAACAAGATAAGGATGTCTGCTCTCACCATCCATTCCTATTCATTATAGTTCTCAAAACATTAGCTAGTGCAATCAGGCAAGAGAAATAAAAGGGTATATATATATATA